TTCTTATTTTTATTCTTATTTTGTTTAAAATACACTTTGTTCATATCTATTTATCATGTGTTTATATTTGTATATTTTAACTTTTTGTAAAGAGCATCGAGACTTGTTCTATGCGCTGTCTTAATAATAATTATTTTAAATGACCATACTTCTATGTTTATAATGAGAATTTGATGAATGATTTTAAAGTCAAGTACAGCACTTATATTTGCCCGCGGGTGCAAATGATAATGACTGGTTAATAGTGCATCAATATCGCTCATCTAACGTATGTAGTCATTCATTTCAAAACAAAATCCTTGAACAATTACGTGGGCTTTGATATAAAAATGATTTAGGCCGTCTGTAACTTAGCCTCCTTTGCAGCCGTTCTTAGGGTCGTCACGCAACGTTGAGTGACGACCCTAAGAACGGCTGCAAAGGAGGCTATCTGTAACTAATCTTGCCGAATTCTCAGTTTTCATGTATTAGATTTGTAGTGAAACAGGTCGTAGAGGGAAGGCATTTAACCCGGCCGTGAAATAAAAAATACTAGTCAACGTGTAATAGTCAAATAGACACAAAAGAAAACAATAGAATTAGGGGCTACTAAAGAGTAAAGTGTATTAATCAAATGTGGACAGCATGCCTTATGTCATAAATCAATCAGCCCTAATTAATGCCTTAATTATCTTATTATAAAATAGAGTGGTTTTCAAAAACCTGTGAAATACACTTTAGCGTATTACGCTTTAATAGACTTTATTGTCCGCATTTTCTTTTGATTTTCTTTTGCGTTTTCGGTGCATTACAATTTATCACACCTTAGTTATTACACTTTGTTTCACAGGTTTTTGAAAACCACTCTAATAAGTTTAGAAAACCTAGCTTAATACTGCCCTTAATATGATTCAAATGGCCCCTTTTATTATTAAGATTGATACAGTTTAAATTCATATTGAGATTGCTCAAGTTTAACTAAATCAGAACAAACAAAAGCCGTAAGTAAAACTGAAGCAACTGACTTTTCGAAWAAAGTATGACGCTGGAACAATCTTTAATTGTTAAGATGTAAAAGATGGTTATTGAAGCGATAACCGCGATGATGGCCTTGAAACACTTTGAAGGTCAATTCAAATTTGCTATAACTTCAAAATTAAGTGGAATAAGAATAAAAAGAAGAGAATTAATTAAAACAAAGCTAGGAATTTATTTAATGGAAGAAATGAATTGAGAAAAAGTAACCTAAGTTGGACAATAGATAATAGCGGCGAGACATTTTAGGATGGGATTCGAGCGGGCAATTTTTCTCGACTGCAACGCAGTCTTAACTAGTAACTCACTAGTCATTATCAACTATTACTCAAAAATCGAAATATCTTAACTTCAAAAGTTCGTGGGATTTGAAGAATATAAAAAAATATGGACAAGAATTAACCAAATACTGTACTCGGAACATTCTAGAGGYCGTGTGAGTGTTTGTGTGCCTGAAGCGTTGATGACGTCACAGGAAGAAAATATCACGGGCGCCACCGAGAGTAGAAGCTTCTAGAAAACCCATATGACGTGTTTGCCTCTGCCACTTTCAGTAAATTCRGCTAGTAATGAGAATTTTGTTCAAGTGTTTATAATGGAACTATTGAAGCGACTGTCAATGAAGTGTTTGACGTGTTCAGGAACAGGACACTTACCAGCACTTTACCATGCACAGGAAGCCCAATTTAGATAAAAGTAACTGTTTTWAAAAAATACTGAATCGGAGAAAATTCGACTTGAATAAGTTTTTCTAGTGGAGCTCAACTGAAGACAATTTACTTCTTAAAGGCGCAATTACACGGAGCAAATTTCTCTGCAGCTTGTCTCGCAACAGCGTTGCGACAGAAGTTGCAATAGTAGGGACAATAGGACGGCAACGCGGGTGACAACGTCGGCGAAATTGGTGCGCTTCAACCTTCATGTTATGTAAATTCATAAATTCAGCTTATTTCAAGTTTCGACAAGGGAGCACGTTAAAATATTGATTGTGTAATCAAGCCATCAATGTGCATAGCAACCGCCTGTGTGCATAGCAATCTGCTACCTGCATAGGACGATAAAATTTCCACCGTTTCACTCCTCTCCTATTACACTCGTCATTCGTAAGCCATTCGGATCGGCCGAAACCAAAACACTACGAGGAACGCCTGTCGCAAGATGGATTGCGCGCGCTAGATAGATCAACCAAGAACAATGACTTTCCTTATACAAACAAAATTTTAAAAGTTTYCCAAACCACTTTAAAACATGTTTAAGCCTTGGTGTGAATGGGGTATTGGACTGACACTCTACCCTGCCATCAACAGCGTCTGTAATGTCCATTTATTTTTGTATTCTGTTTAGATAATTTGGTCAATACAGCAAACGGCAAGACAAAACGTCAGCGGAAATATTCAGCGAGTGGATTAATTATAAGCTGAAAGTTATTCAATTCCTATGTATTCACTAAAGTATTCTATTTCCCTCGATCCCTCTGTACTTGTGATTGAGAATTGGAGAGGTAAACCTGGCTCCGCAGAGAACCATCCATCCGCTGAAGACCCGACCAAAAAATCAGACACTCCTAGTCTGTATACAGTCGCTTCCCACCCTTCACCCCTACGGGGCAAAAGACGGAGGAAACATTTTCCCCGTAGGGTATAGGGCTGTGAATTGGCTGTACACAGGCTACGACACCCAAAACTCGCTCAAAAAAGTGCTGTTGAGTGTTAGGCGTTTGTTTTGAACAAAGGCACAACACTCAAGGCTTGGCGGCSTCCGTTCAYATATTCAAGACCTCGGGCATATTTTTTGACAATGTGGATTTTGGGATTGCACGGTGAGATTAAAACGACTGATAACACTAGGATGGAGTGACAAAAGAATGAAACAATAGATACGCCCACGTTTCATGTGTGAAACACTACAAATAAAACCAAGAAGCATTGTACGGCTTAGACCGGCGTGAAAATAGTTTCACTACACGCACAAGGAACGTATTAAGGTGTGCAAGCAAGAGGCAACAAAAATAGGAACGACAGAGCACTTAATTAGATGCAAATTATTGTACCAGACTTACTGCAAATTTCATAAACGTGCGAACTCTGTGTTTCCGAGTTGCACGCTGAAATTTAGTTTTTCGCTGCTGCCAGTCAAAAATATAAAAGGTACCGACTGATTAGGTTTGATTGACGGCAGCTAAAAGCCAAATTTCAGCGTACAGCTCGCAGACACAGAGTTCGCAAGTTTCACACACTCTGTGTCTGCGAGCTAGCTGTACACTGCTATTTGGTCTTCGCAGTAGAGTATATATCACATAGCAAATATACTAGAATAAGTTGGACGAACTTGCAAAGTGCAAACGTTGGGAAGCCAAGGGGTAGGCACTGCACTAACCGTGTTTGTGAGACAATTACTTATGCAAATTCACCTGCTTGGGCCAAAAATTAACTGAAATATTATCTCAAAAGTTTGTTTACCAACTTAGGCCAAAACTAAAATGGCAGAATGTCCGAAACCTCAACCGACAGCCACAAGGCGGGCAATTTAAAATAAAGTCTGACTAACCTGTTCAAATAACGAGGATAACATCATGAAGAATGAATTGAAAACTTCGGCACAAAAAGCCGACAAGAACAAAAGAAAAATGGCGTCCTCTAAGAATACAGTCCCATGATTCAGTGCGTGTTCTACTCGTTACCAGTTTTCTGCGCAACACCAGTTTTTGAAGCGCCTCACAGCGGCTGCGCAGGAGGCTACGCAAAATCTGCTCTGTAGAAAAATTCTTAATTTTCTTGCCAACCCATGATACTTYCCTTAGTTCCCCAACGATTTTAGTTTGAAGGAATAAAAACACGCAACATTTAGAGTAACAGTTCAGTTTTTATTCATTGGGCTTTTTGTTCGACCTCATTAGAATTCATTCCAGGTTGAAAATTTCCCGAGATAAAATCTTTTTCACTCTTAACATTCAATAAAAAATCATAGACCTTCTCTTGAAATAATCCTGTTAAAAACCAAAACGGCGCATATTCAAGAGCTATAAGCCCCATAATATCGAACCGGAAGTGAGTGTAGTCCCAGGTACACGCGGAAAACTGACGCAAAAGCAGCCCGCCCAGGAATTCCCACGTGTATGCCATCTTGAGGTAAACCAGCCCACGAACAAGCATGCTTAGTTTATCGCGTGTTTGTACGAAGACTCTCTCGCCGCAGAAGCTACAGSTACCGTAGATAAAAAACGACCACACTGAGGTATACCCTTTGAATTTGAAGTCCGAAAACCTGGATAGCACAAATTCCCACGTGGCGGTGAAGAGAATTTCATAAGTCATTCCCAGCATGCCGTAAAATATTAGACGGTGAAATTTGTTAACAGCCATTTTTTAATGTAATGACGCCTTTTCTTCTTAAACCAAGTTATACACCACCTGTAAATGATAARAATATTTTGTTAGGTTTAATAGTTATTTCAGTGTGTCTCGAAAAGAAATCAGGGCTTAAAGGAAAAAAAAACAACAAACAAAACAAAAAAAAAAAACAGGTGACGAGGCGGCCACCGCACAACAGTTGACCAGGGGCGTAGCCAGGATTTTCCGAAAGGGGAGGCCCAAATTCCGAAAAAACACACTGACACTGAGCCTGGAGGGACGTCAAAAGGATCAGTATAGAAAAAATACAAATATAGTGCTGTAGATTCGAGTATAACGTTGTTGAGTGTTGACTGACTGGCATTTCTACCAAAATGTTCGTATGATTACCGAAAGGTAGGAACGTYGTATATGGCACATTATCTTATTCCTACCAATAAATGTCATATCAAGTTTTGCTCCATATATTAGTGTCAAAGTTGGAGTTGAGAAAGGTCACTCTATATATGGAATCATATAATTCCATATTTGGATTGCGGGTCTTTACCCTGAGGGCAAAGATGGCGGACAAGCGTGTTCGTCGGCTGGCGAAACGGCTGAGAGACATTTACGACTTGGCGAAGACGAAAAACAAGAAAAAACTACAAAAACTACAAAAAAAAAAAAAAAAGCTTCACCCCAGTCCCTTTTTTTAAGACCGGGAAAGAGAGCTTTGACACTCATTTTTTGATATGATTTGGTCATCCACGTGTTCGTACTATACATGAAGTACCATTCCACTTTATAAAATAACTGTTATGAATGTCGCGTTCTGATTGGTTTTGAGCGCGTGCTTTATGAGAGCACATTGCACGCGCGCGCACTTTCCGCTGCGTCATTCCTATCTATTATTGTAATTTGTATTTCATAAAAGAAATAAAAAAACTTGCTTGCTGTGCTGTGTGCTGTCATCAAGCACGCGGGGGTTGGCAGAACACTCGAGAAGTGTCGAGAAGCACTCCGCTACGCGTCGTGCTTCTCCTAACACTTCTCTCGTGTTCTGCCAACCCCCGCGTGCTTGATGACAGCACACAGCACGCGCGCGCGTTTTCTATTTCAGGCAAGAGCCTCGCAATCAAGTCTGAATTTTAGCACATCGAACGTGAACTATTGACTAAGGTAATTTTTATGTCTTTTTATTAATAAGGCAGTCACTCTGGCGACTGTCAGTATTCAGGCAGGTGTCGGTATTAATGCGAGTGAAATGCCTTCATAATATCGACATTTTATTTTTCCTTCATCAGTTCACAAAATTGAATAAAACGTTCGATAWTAAACTTAACAATGGCTAAACATCAACGAGAAAAGTTTATTTATCTGTCAAATGACTGGGACAGAATTTAATCACGCGAAATTTAAAACAACACTTAGAATAATATTCTTTCTTCGTAATGAGATTGCTTTATTGTTTGCATCGTGTTGCCAGAATTATTCTAAACAAATCAAACTCAATAGAACATGAAGTAAGCTTACTTAATACTCTCTTGTRCTTCTATAATGCGATCTATAACTTATTGAAACAAAATATCCTTTGTGTTTAAGAAAAAATATTATCAATCATTGAATCAGATTTTCAATTCAGCACTACAAAATGTAATAGGAAAATTTATTTGAATTTAATTTATATTGAAAAAACCGACATTTTCTTACATATATGAAAGATATACGGGAAAGACAAACAGAAATTATTTAAATATATTTACATTACAAGCAAAAAATGCACATATTTGGAACGAAAACATTTTACGACTAGTATCAAACAAATTGAAAATTGCAATGATATATATTATGATTTAAAAAAAGTGGTTGTATGAACGTAAACGGAGATATAGAATTGCTTGGGTATTTCTGTTTACTCTTCTTACTAGCTTTTCACTAGCTTGCTTTAATTCATTTACCAAAAACAAAACGAAATAATATAAAACAAAACAAAAAATAATAATAATAAAATAAAAATAACTTACTTGAGAAAATTTGCCCGTAATTTTCACGGGCATAAAGCTCTTTGATGTCGTTCCAGATTAATAATCTTTTCAACCTTGAAACATCGATAAAAACACTGCTAAAAATAATGAAAATGTTCTCACATTTTAACATGAAAATCATACATAATTAATAATGTTAAAAATGAAATTTGTTATTCTATACTTTACCTTTCTACGTTTTTCGTTCGGTTCTGGAAAATTTCGGCGAGAAGTTGCAGTCTTACTCTATAGTCTTGAGTTGTTCGCGGCTTTTTCTCTTTATTTATTGTAAATTAGATTAGATTTTTGAGGCGGTTTTAACAGCATTTATTTTTTCATTTTTTGGCACCCATTGAACAAGTCAGTCGGATCTGTAGACACGTTTTGAACCAATGCTATATTGTTTGGAATAAGTAAATGAAGTCCTACAAGTTTACAGCGACAATCATGAGTACTCAGTATTATATAACATAGCTCTATACCTATGCTAGAAGTTTCTACGTGATGGAAAAAAAACTTATATACGTAGTTTGAATAATATTTCCTTTGYGTGTACCGGCGACTGATTTCCGTCCAAATGATTTATTCCAGATGAGAAGAAATGAGAAATGACTGAAGAAATTTGGACATATTTTTTTAGGCAAATTTCCCTCCCCTCCCCTCCCCTCCCCTAGTAAAAGTTTTAGTGGTAATTCTTCAACATTAGGAAGAGCTAGAGAAATTTGAACTGATTTTTTGTTTGTAAAACGCCATCCATCCCTCCCCAAAGTCTAGTTAAACTGTTATTAGAACAATTGAATGGATGGAATGAAAGAATGATCATATTTGCCCCATTGCGATACATAGAGCTCGCAAGTYGAATGATTTTTGGGCCAACCACAACGGGTGTGTTGACCACATTTATTGTTGGAATCCAACTACTCTAGATCGTTTTCCATCATGTATCCTTTGGTGGTGCTAAAATATTTTCCCGTGCCAATCAAAAAGAAAACAACTTGAAAGCGCTGAGCAAAATATTGGATTAATATTAGAGCATTTCTGAAACGAGCTATAGACCTTTTGCAAATTCACTGGAGTGACCACGAAACAGTGGCTCCAAGTAAGTCGAGGTTAGACTCGATGTGTTCTTACATTTACTGTATTTATTATTAAGCCCAGTCTTGAAAYCATTAATCCGTGGTCACTTGAGCAAATTGTAAAAAGGTCTAAGGGCGAGCGACTGAATTTCCGGTTTTTTTTAGTTGTGGTCTCTAGTCTCTTGTCTATTCTATAGCTATCGTATGTTTATCTTTATGTTTTCTACAATTAATGATCTATCAAGGTACCTGAGTCAAGCTCGTCTRAGCYTTGAATTTCAGAAACTAACGAAAAAAGAACATGCATAGACATTAATTTCCGACACGTGATTCCCAGCCCCACCCCCAATCAATCACTTGGATAAATTAGACATTGATTGGCAAGTGTCACTTGAATATAAATCAGACTTCACGCGGGATTTCTGTATCATATGTCCGCAAAGGACCCCTGGGTAGTATTGTGTAATATTGGCATTTTTTTWATGCAGGAAAATACCTAGAAGACACGCAACGCATTTTTAGACTGAACTTCGACAGGCAACCCAGTACAAATCTCATACGGTTGTCGTTCCCAGTCCTTTTCCAAAGCATCCAAACAAGATGGCGGAGGAAATAGAAAGTTTGATAAAGGAGTTTCGTCTTCTAAAATGCTCTCCTTTCAAACCTTTGGTAAARACTGGTGGCCCTGTCTACATAACACATGCTTCTATAGGGTAAGTACTAGTAATAAATATCTAAAATCAGTAGCATAAATATAAATATTGTAAATATTTTCCGTTATTTTCGTCTGTTTTTTTTTTTTTTACTTTACGTTTTAAAAGAAGGAACCCTTAGATTGTACCACCAAGATTCATAACATTTATAAGGCGTCATAATTTTTTAATCATATAAAATTTATGTTAAGGTTTTTATTTAGCTGTTGCGATTAATATTATTTTGGATGCCTTTTGGATACAGTAATGACCTCAGACTTTATTTATTTTCTAAATGGACTTGATAAGCTAAGTGTAGTAAGCTTACATACAACCAGGGTGGATACTATGTTAGGTACAGTGTACCTAACAGAGAAACCACAACGCTTTTTAGCTTTACAAACATGTTTTCTTGGTATCAACTTGTGCCATGGTCAGTGTAATGTGCAATAGATTACAATTTTCAGAATTWAAAAAAAAAAAGTAATAATGATAATAATTTAAAAGAGAAATGATTTATTGGTTTGTAATCATTCCCAAGGGAGTAAAATAACGAAAGCCATTGCCACAATGTTGTAAGAAATGACAAAAGAATTCACTGAAATTTTTTTTGTCAAACTCTTTGAACATGGCACCTATGATGTCATGGGCAAAAAAAGAAAGATCTAAATATTTGAACAATGATTGAACATACTGTAGCTAACCTTTATTTTAAACATCTTTGTTTGTCTTATTCATCCAGACAGGCAACCAAAGCACTTGCTACAGGGGGTAGGTAACTGCTGTTCAACCTGGGTAACCAAGAGGTTACATTTTGTCACTCGTTTCTCTCTACCAGAATTGCTACTCCTCTCTGATTGGTTAGATTTTTTGTAAGCTGCATTTTTGAAAGAGATTTTGTGTCCAGGGGTATTTTTTCTGGTAGCAAGAAACAAGCGACAGAATTTCCCTCCTGGGTTACCAAAGATGGTAATTGTTTCATATTTTGTTTTATCATTTTATTCCATTTTTGGTTATCTCATAGAGGGGCTGACCTTTTCCAAACTGGGAATGAGTATTGTACTTTTCAGCTTTGCAAATAAGGGGGGGGGTTTAAGGCCCATTTACATGAGTGATTTTTGCATTTTTTTGAGGTGCAATTTTTTGTCAAAAATTTTGAAAATATAATATAATAATATTATCTCATGCTTCCAAAGAGACATTGGCCAGGTAATATTGGTGTSTGGTATAAAATTTTACGAGTTTTGGAAATGGCTTTTATTTGGTGGAGTATTATACAGTGATTTCCATTTCTTTGACTGAAATTACTGGTGATAAAAAATATGCTCTTTGATCATAGAGGCAAGTGGTAATGTCAGAGTATGTGAACTTGATACCTTGAAGCAAGTAGGAGTCATCCTAGGTAAGATATATGAGAAACAATAACTGAATAACAATAGACAGAATCCACTTGGGCATAAGGTTTTCCCATTTTCAGACCACATGTCATTCTCTAGAGAATAAGATTCTCTAAGGTCTGTGATCAATTTGAATTGTATCCATATTCATGTGTCTTTTCATGCACAACTGTTAAACAAAGAAATGATACTCTAGGGAATGACATGTGGTCTGAAATTGAGCAACACTACCTCAATGTGGATTTGGTCCATTGGACCTTGATAATATTATTAGAGGTATCACTATCTTTAGTTTCATTCATTATGTCAGAGTCAACACTAGAGAAAAACGTTTGCGCATGCGTGCATTTCAGCACATTTTCTAAGAATTTTGAAGGGTTTGAGTGAAAAAATAAATGTTTGTTTTCTCCAAGTATACTTTTGTCAGACCAAGATACTGTATTAACAAACACAATATGAAAGAATTAGCCTTAAGGAGGCTGGAAAGTGTTTTGTGCCTTCACATTATGAACTAAAAGCCAAAGACCATAAACCAAACATCACAATGAGCATGGAAAAATGACGTCAGATGTTGCTATGGCAACATCAGAACCCTTGGTATGCCATCAAAAATGTTTGTTTAAAAAATCATAGCTCAGGAACCAAATATTTCAACTTTGTATGGTAATCTCCTTTTTGACAAAAAAAGAAAAAAATTCTGTAGGAGGGAACTATTCCAAACAAATTTTATTGATTTTTACGAATTCCCTTGTACAGAATTTTTCCTTTTTTTAGTTCATAATGTGAAGGCACGAAACACTTTCCAGCCTCCTTAAGTTTCAAGCCTGTACACTAAGTTTTGTCCAAGTCCAATGAAGTCCAATTTATCAGGCATATTTGAAAGTCAAATTTACATATGTTTTGACTAATTTGCCTAYGGATTCTGAGCATGCGCAGATGTTTTTCACTTGTGTTGTCAAGATGTATAATTTATGATGGTAATTGAACTGAGTGGAGTGCAATTTGGACCAAAATCATACGAGTGATTACAAAATTGCACGACCGCGTAGTGGGAGTGCAATTTGTTAATCACAAGTATGATTTTGGTCCAAAATTGCACGACACGAAGTTCAGTTACCACTTAATCATATCCTTTTTGTAATCATACATGAGAAAAAGACACAATAAAGAGTGCAGAATAAAAGATTTTTGTTGTTGATTTTTTTGTTTTATTTTATTGTTTAAAAAAATTTTTTTAGGATGCGATTAACAGCTCCTAAGGATGCAATTTGGGAATTAATCGCACTCTTTTGAACCAATCAGATTGCAGGATTTGGTAGTGATTACAAAAAGGATATGATTAAGAGCATACTTCAAGAGTTCATTAATAATTCATAAGCATTTGATCCAATAGCCAACTTTCAATATTCTACATAGTTGAGTGGTCTAATGCAATAATTTTTGACTAAATCCTCTCTCTCACTGCTAACATTTATTTAACCTATACTGAAGAAGACTAAACAACTTTCCGAGATGTCAATTTTTGATTCGTACACTACGATGCCACCATCTTGTTAGTATGTTGATGCTTCCACAAAAGAACAAAAACTATTATCACTCTTTTAGGAAACAAGAAACATATAACAGGATTAGAGTTCTCTAAGGGAAATGAAAAGCTCTTGTGGACAGCAACAGCTTGTTCAGATATGAAGTAAGTAGATTTGTGTATCATCCATTCCATGAAAATACTTCAGATCCCTGCCTGGTTAACTCTAGAAATTAAAGTGTTTTGATTCAAGAATCAAGGGGCATCATTAAAAGTATTGGGAAGCAAGCATGATACTGAAGTTATTAACTACAGAGCATTGGTACATTGATTTATGGGTTCTTACTTTGTGTAGAGGGCACAGTTTTTGTAATTCAATTGACCATTTTCCATACATCGGTTCACTGGTCAAACACAAAGCATTCAGTCCAGGTTGCAAGGTTCAAATTTGAATGACCAGTGAACCGATGTATGAAAAATGGAGAATAGCCACAACAAAGCCAACAAAGAATACAAWAGGTTTCTATTGAATTATGTTCACTGTACACTGTGTCCTCCACATGAAGATATACCCAATGGACTAYTTCAAGGATATGGCAGCCATCTTGCCAAGGGGCAAAGCAAAACAAAGATGGGTATAGGTGTTTGATGTGCCATCTTGATTCATCTTTTGTGTTGAGCTGTTGATATTAGTTGACACCATTACTGTGACAAAGCTTATTTGCCCATTAATGCCTTGCGACCTAAGATAGCCACTGCATCATTGAAGTAGTCCATTTATACTTGCTTTCCAGTGAATAATTTCAATGTTGTCCCTGACAACATGCTCATTTCATYGACTCAACTAAAATATGAATAATTATTTTTTTAAATATGTATCGATTATACTGATATCTACGTACCTCTTTAAAATCTTTAAAACAGTATATGTGCCTAATAAGTGCCTATTTCTTTTTACTTTTAGCTGTTGGGATTTGAGAGCAAGCTACACAAGACCATCACATGTCCTATCCAGTAAGCACAGCTATTTTACAAATAGGAATTCAAAATAGAATATACAGTATATCAATATACACTTATTTCAATAAAGTTAGTCGCCTGAAAAGCTATAAAGCTGAGGCTGACAAGGATTACATGTATGGGTAGTAGATTCATTTTACAAGTTCAACCGCTTGATAACTGTTCATCGACTTGCGAATCTTTTACCGGTTACAGTCTCACCTCTTCTGAGCATCATCGAGCTGCAGTTTGTATTAAAAAAAGTTTGTATATATATATGCTTCCTTGATATGAAAAGTTTCCCATGATGCTCAGTGATCTCAGCTTTCTAGGTTTTTGGTGACTAACTTTATTGAAATAAGCGTATCATATATACAGTATATATTCAGTATATCATATATACAGTATATCAGTTTATCGTATATACAGTACATATATTCAGTATATCATATGTAAGGTATATCAGGTTGTAAAATTCATGAATAATTAACGAGGGTGTAAGCCAATCCAGCTTTAGAAATCAGGTCACATGAATATCAATGTAAACCCGATGCAAACCTTACGATGAAAATGCTTATTAGATATATAACCACTAGTGGATGTATACTGTTCTGATACAGCACTAGTGGTTGTATCTAATTAGCWTATGAATTCAAAATGTCCCAAAGGACATATGAATTATTAATGAATTTCACAAGTTGTTTACAACATTTGCTGCTGTGTTGGATCAGCCAATATACAATCACCAGCCGGAGGCCAGTTATTGTAGAGCTGATACAACACGGCTGCCACTCACATTATAAACATTACATGTCATATATACAGTATATCATGTATATCAGTTTGAAAATGGATTGCAAGGGTGACCTTAACATCACTCAAGCACTGTGGTTGCTAAGGGTACTCAGGTTTAAACCCTGAAGGTTGGTTCTCCCTTGTCACAAAAGTTTGTATCCAGGTTCCTTTTTCAAACTAAAAATATCAGTCAGTGTGAAAGATAGTGGCAGGTGGCATGCGACATGGGCTCACAAACCATGATAGGTAAAAACATGTTTTTATTCTGAATAAGTACAATCCCTCTAGGGGTTACAAAAGTGCTGTCATGAGTATTTACTCGAAGGAATTTAGCTATTTTGTCACAGTCACCGATCATGATGACCAGCCAAATTAGTTTTAGCTCTATCATACCTTGTTTCTGGCTAAACATTACTGATCAAAATGACCGGCAAGGCAAAGATTTGACCAGACAAGTTTCAATCCTGGCAGAACATTGTCTAATGACAAAAGAGAAAAGAAAAATATAAGTTTAAAACTAATTACTTACTAAATTATATCCTGAATTTAACCCTCTAGGTCCTAATAACTCTGAATATACTTGTTGTGGAGTGAACTGTGCTGGTGATATTATTGCAGCAGCAACTGAACCATTCAATGAAGACGTCTGTATRTATGTTTGGTAAGTTATAAGGGACTCTTCGTTATTTATTAGGAGAAAGGAGATGGAATTCAGCAAAAGTTATTTTTTTGCCTTTCCAGTAACAGTCATGTGATTATGTCTTGCAAATGGCCTATAGACCGTTTTCTCAAGGTTGCGTGYGCATCTAACTTGACGGGCCGCAMAACTGAAAAACGCAATTTCAGTAAATGTTGAGAGTTTTATATTTAAAGATGAGAATAATCGATYTTATGAATTCTTATCAAAAAATCTCATAAAATTGTATGATAATTCTCATTATATATCTCCTGTTACTGGTATCATGGCCCGTCAAGTTTCTTAAATTTGGATGAGCGTGCAACCTTGAGAAGAAGGTCTATAATATTGTTCTTCAAAAACATATTCTGAGAAGAATATGAAGTCAGTGTGATTGAAATCTTAAATCTTCATTAGGGATATCAGGAGTCCCCGACCTTTTTTCACAAGTGTTTTTACAGATTCACATAAAGAAGACATCACACAGGTTAGTCTAATATCTTGATGACCTTTAAAAAGTATTTCTTGGGACTGTAAAAATATCTGTGTGAAGCATGGGTGGTGTGCGCTGCTAATGCGTTGCCTCTCACCAATGCAACCCGGGTTGGACTAGTCCTTCCGGGCTCGATGACATATGTGAGTAGAGTTGCTTGTTACAGGGTTCGTGCTACTCCTTAAACTCCTTGAAAACTCCTTGAATTTAATTCACGTTTTCAAGGGCACTTGAAAAGCTCTTGAATTTTATGATTTTAGCAAAACTCCTTGAAAACTCCTTGAATTTTGCTTTGATCATTACTTCCATGGTTCTGAAATAGAAAATCTGAAAGTCGGCCATGTGCAGCCATTGTGTAAAACCTTGGCATAGTTAACTGAACATACTCCTTGAAATTTCATTTTTGGGTCCTTGTATACTCCTTGAGTAGTCCTTGAATTTGAAGTGGTTACCTCAGCACAAACCCTGCTGTTATTTCTCTCCTGTGCTTTGAGGGTTTTTTCTCTGGCTGACCTGCTAATATTCTCACTAGCATGTACAACTGTAATACAAGTACATGTACTTGTTTAAGGTGTAACTATTGACTCTAAATCTAATTGAAATCTAATCAGACTTACCACTCCAGGATGGCTTAAAGCCTTACAGATTAGTAAAACTGCGATATCACTCCATTTTYTATTTATTTATTTTCATTTCTCATTGGTACAATTCTAGGTTAAGTTTCATCCCACGAGACCCAAGCATATGGGTTCCTGTTCAACAGTAAGTAAGCCACTGGTTATGTTTAGAGAGGGTTATAGACCTATCCCGAATTTGCTTGACTGATCAGGAAACAATGGTTTCAAGTCGAGGTTGAACTTGATGAATAAAAGAATCAAGTTCAGTCTTGACTTCAAACCATTGTTTCATGGTCAGTCAAGCGAATTCCGGATAGGTCTATTGAAAGTAGGGAGGAGAAATGCCTGGGACAAAGGGGTAAAATGTAAAGATTTAAAGGGAAAATGTGCCATGAAAAAGGAAAGGGCTTGGGAAATGTGAACATGTCGTACATTGGGATGACATGATTAAATTATCAGTAATGGTGACATATCCATATGGAAAAGAGCGCTATATAAATATCATTATCATAATGATGATGGTGAAGTTATTGTGGATAGAAATGATGATGCTGATGTGGTGAAGAGATGGAAGTGGATTATTAGCATTCCCTGTTACTTTCTGGAGTTTAGGAAGGACAGGTTTTTAAAAATCGAGGAGGAACGACTATTTTCTGGAACAACTTCACACACACATGAACAGTGCAAGCACAGATATTGTAAAGTTTTTTACAACCTTAAGTATTGGTTTTGGAGGAATCAACTCATAGCTTGAAGCTCAGTTCAGACCAATTAGATTGCTCTCTAGATTATGATGGTCGTGGAACAGCTTTTTAACATTACAATAAATCTTATCATTCGTTTTAGGATGGCCTCATTTGTCTGTTTGACTTGTCACATGCTCAGGAAGAGGATGCTCTGCAGTTCGTCCTCAATTCAGGATCATCAGTGGTATAACATTGTGTTACTTTATCAAATAAACAAYGAGAGTAATTTGTTCTACCATTGCTAAATGGCATGCGTGTGATGACAAAACCTCCAAAAAAAACTTATATTCAACAACCATCACTTCCTGTAAGGGGCTCTTCCATGAGGTTCACTCACCATGCACTACATCTGCGGTTACTTTTTATACCCATGAAACGAACTCAAAGATCTCATATATGTGGCTCAGGCGGGAATCGAACCTGTAATATGAACTACACAGCAGAGAGAGAGACAGTGCCATAGCAGCTCATCCACACCACTCAAAGGCTGGACAAGGAAGGTTCATTGTGGCATCACAGGCTATAGCAGCGCATGCCACTTATGCCACTCAAAGGCTGGACAAGGAATGTGCATTGTGGCCTCACAGGCTATAGCAGCACATGCCATCCATGCCACTCAAAGGCTGGACAAGGAATGTGCATTGTGGCATCACAGGCTATAGCAGCACATGCCACTCAAAGGCTAGACTAGGAAGGTTCATTGTGGTGTCACTTTGATATACACAGTCAATACTATACAAGGGGGGGGGGGGGGATATTTTACAACCATCAGAGGCTCTTCTGTGAGGTTTGCTCTACACGCACTACCACTACATTGATTTCTAGATATTTAAAGCACATAACACTCTATTTATGACAGTCTGTGCATTAAGAGCTGAATACAGAGTGATATTTTTAATCTATTCCTAGGCAAGGATAGGCTATTTTGGTGAGAATTATGACAAGCTGTATTGTATCACTCACATAGAAACTCTACAGTTATGGGATGCAGAGGAGGTGAGACAATCAGGGGAGATTTGGGGGGGCGGGGGGTTGGAGTTAGAAAGTAGCCAGCAGATATCGAGGCACATTTTGTTCAGTTTGGCCAAATTTTTCATATGAAAATATACCAATGAATGGGATTTAACAGTGGCATATCAGAGTAGCTCTTCATTCACTGATTTGGAATTTCGGATCATCATCACTATTAATCAACAGATGAGGATTCAAAGGCTTTTCCTACTTAACTCTCATTACTATCTCCTATTAACATTCTAGGCAACATTATTGGCAGACCATACAAAGATACGAAATGCCACAAATGTAAGTCATTGGTTACAATAAATAGATGGTATTGCATGGCTGCCTGAAGTTACAGACTTTATCTTTCAGTGTTGAGGTGATAYCTTATGAGTGAGCAAGTAAGATATTCTCAACTCGAGAAGGTAAAACCCCGTATCTCCATTCGGTCATGTAATATTCTGTTTAAGCAATTATAGATGAAATACTATTTTGGTGGATTTTTACTACAACTGTTGAAGTTTCTTAGGAATTTTCTTTGCCACCATGCAATGAGGCTTGTAAAGAAAGATTTTTTGTTGTTTTGCTTTAGGGGGTTCCATGTGTAGATTATCTTGTAGATTGTTTCTATCATCCATCAGTCAACAAGCTTCATCTTGTCGCTGGGAGACACAGGTGGGTCTATTAGAGCAGTTTTCATATGAATCCTCCCCATCCAATCAAATAAATACCCGATAAATACCCTAGCAATCAAGGGTTTACAAAACTGGTGGTGTTACACGGCACGATACGTAATATTTCAAAGCCGACAACGAGGACTGGGCGGGATTTCAAGTCCGCGCAGTTAGATGCAGTCGGAGGCGCAGGCGAGGACTTGAACAAAACTAATTCAGTCCTTTCACAGGACTTTACCAGGTTTCAAGTAACATCATGTGACCCAAAAAATAGCCCATTGATTGGGTGGTTTCCTCATGAATTATTAATGCGTATGAGAATAAAGGTTCATTGTCATATAGTAAATAATGTACGTACTACGTAACAATAGGACGTTTGCACGATGGCGTCATTGACCTCTACTACCAGACTCCCTTTCACGCTTTCTTTTGTTCAGTTAATTAGCACCAATTGTCTTAGTATTCTCATGAGGAAATACAAATTTAAATAAGAAAGAAAATTCGCAAAGCATCTTGGTAGTGGTAGTAAAATGACACCATCATGCAAACGTCCTATACGAGTTGATAAAAACGCCACGGGTTTTGGTTGAATAGCTACATATTCTAACGCACAACCAAGGTTAAGACTGAGCAAAAGTGAACTCGAAACTGGAGTATTTGTTCTGAAACTTGTCTCGCAACGCCTTTGCACACAAGTTTTAGGTTAAAGTTTAGACCTGTGACAGGGCTTTTAATGTGTCTTTGTAGTGGTTACCTAGAAGTCAGTGAAGTGACAGACGAAAGGGTGGATAAGATCTGTTCATTATCAGGGGGTCACTCAGCAACAGTGCGATGCTTAGAGTGGCATCCAAAGGTGAGGACATATTAATTGTTTATGAATTGAAGAGGGAGTTTTTTTTATGCTCATTTAGATCATGTTATTAGAGTTATTAGAGTACATATTGAATAACAAAGACCAATACACCCTTGAAAGAGTTTTTTGTTAGCGTGTTGGTTTTCAGATGTTATCCGTCTAACCTTCTGTTCGTCCATCCGTCTTCTTGATCCGACTGCCATTTTTTATTCATTTATCCATTCATCCCTCTGTCTATCCATCCATTTATTCATCCGTCCATTTATTCATCCATCTATCCATCCATCCATTTATTCATCCGTACATCCATTTATTCACTCATCTGTCCGTCCGTCCATTTATTCATCCGTCCATCCATTTATTCATCCATCCGTCCGTCCGTCCATTTATTCATCCGTCCATCCATTTATTCACTCATCTGTCCGTCCGTCCAT